CGTAAATATAACGCGACGAAAGTAGTTTATATTATTTACATACCCTTGCTGATCGTGATACGGCATTGGCTCTGGGAGCTTTTCCTTTTCCTTTTCCGGTTGCATTTGTTGTACTTGTACTATTGCTAGACATGGTCCGTTGGTTGGTTGTAAAGAGTATGTCTTTTTTGAAACGAGAGTATGAACTTTGAGGTATCTTGGAAGGAGACAGTGATGAGTGTGGTTACTACTACGACTACCACCATTTTATATGCACCGATAGTGAATGATGGGATCGGGGTCGGTTAATGAATTAAACACACGGTGATAATTACTATTACACAATATTTATATTCCACGTCCCCTTCCCCCAAAAACCATAACAACTGACGTAATGACTATACGTAATTTCTCATTATCCAATTGAATGTCTTGATTCGCTTATTCCAAGAGCGCCACTCAAAAAAGTGTCAATTCGGCTTTTCTGTCGCGACCGTCTTCCAGTTCGTAGTGTCTCTCTGTCTTCGTTTTCCCTTTATCTATTCCTAAAAGAATTCAGAACAATGGTAACCTCCGACCGAGATCAATTGCTTGACATGGGATTTTCCCCTGAAAGAATGTATGGTGAAAAGAGTAATATTTATGAAAGAGACAATATAAAGGATATGATTATATTATCACACAAGTCTACTAACTTTGAATATGAACTAATATCAGTGATCGCGCCTTGAAAGCAACAAAGAATTCAGGTCTGCAGCCTGCCATGGACTGGTACGAATTCTTAATACTACGTGCACGCTCCCTACTATTATTCATTATCTTGTTCGTTACTTTGCGTCTTTTGTTGTCTCTTTATACTCTTAATAATTTAATAATTGCTCTTTTCCCTGGTTCTTCGTTCCATACTCTTTTATTCTTATTCATTTCTTTCCTGTACATTCTCTTTAACTACTTATAAATAAATCGTGTAACATTACGTTTTATTCACAACTATCTTGTCTGTCTTATAATTATCATAGCCTCTCGTTAACTTCCATCTCTCGTCTGCATTTAGGCTATTTTCACATGCAGACGATGACTTGGACGAAACATCGGGCGAAACAGCGAGCGGAACTGCCATTGCATCCGGGTCTGGGACTAATACCACTGAACAAGAGGAAGGTAAGATTAGAGAATATTGGCGATATGGAAAACAGAATTAAATATACGTATATATATATATATGTGTGTGTGTGCTTATGTCAGATGAAATGCGTATAAATCAAGACTGTCGAGGGTTGGGTGTCGAGAGGTTTAACTCGAAATTATCAAGTTGGCGCTGATCCGAATGTTTTGGTATATTGATTTAGGAGAGATCAAAGCAGGAGAAGAGACTGCTCAATCTTTGAAATGTGACGATTGTCAGAGACTATTTCGTGATGGTGAGCTAATAAAGAAGTTAATAAGAATATAGACGGTACTAAACACATTGACGATTCTATGTAATATTCGCCAGCATATTTACCAATCTAGTTTCTGTTTTAAATTCTTTCCCTTACCTCTTGTTTTCACGCCCACACGTCTCTAGCCGCAATGGCGGAACGTCATGCAATAAAGTCTGGTCACGTCAACTTTTCAGAATCAACAACAGCGATCAAGCCATTGACTGAAGAGGAAAAGCGTGAGAAGATAGCTGAACTTAAGGAGAGACTAGCTGAGAAGCGAAGGCTTAAACTAGTTGAAGAGAAGGAGGACGAGAAGCTGAAGGAAAAAATAAGGAGGAAGTCAGGGAAGGAACTGAACGAGGCGAGAGAGAAACTGCAAGAGAGAGAAATGGAAAAGGCTTTGTTATTAAAAAAGAAAGAGAAAGAGGAGGAAAGGGCAGCGAAGGCCAGGGTCAAGGCGCAAATTGAGCAGGACAAACGAGATAGAGCCGCAAAGGTATAATTTATGAATTAAGAAAAACGAGGAAGATGTTTGAACGCGTTAGCCATGGAAAAAAAAATCTTGGATAATGTATGTTGATTGATTGGCGTATGTTTTGACAGCGCGAGGCTTCTCGAAAGGCTATTGAAAAAGCAGCGGCTGAAGAGGCGGAAGCGGCGGCAGAAGCTGCAAAGGCGCCAAAACCA